TGCAATTTGCGCAAATGCATGCATTAGCAGGAAAAGCTACTCAAGTCGAATAAGAGCAATTCATCCTTTATCACTGACTCGCGTTAAGTGCACACCTACTTGTTCTAACTGGTACTCAGCATCACAAAGTGGGTTTCAAATTGTTTGAAAGCTTTGAAAGTAGTGTCCGGACAAAAATCAAACTTCTACCTTCTGGCTGAATTATATTTGTCCACTACAAAACAACAATCTTAGCCTAAAACCGTTTTCGTCCTTCCACACATGAAGAGGAAGGAAATCAGGTAAAAACATTGTGAGTTATGCAAGCAAATGTGCATTTTCTGCTGAGGTGGTGAATATCAATCTGATGACTTAAGTGGGAAAATTTCCAAATCTTTGCAGCAGGAAAACTAACAGTCGAGATCGAAATCATTCACTGTTTTGAACTGATGTTAGTATAAGGATGCGCATGATCGTGAAGGTCAGTAAGATGAAGATCACTGTTCAGGCAGGATTCCGCAAGACCCTAAACCAGTCAGATTACCCCATACATTTCAAACCGCCTCAGAAGAATAAAAGCTGACATTTGATACCAAAAGAATGTTCAAAATGAGAAGAAATTTGAGAAATTTTGATGTGAGAGCAGAGGCTGCGGTTTCGCTGACTTTCAGGATTACCCACGGCCGTTTATAGAGGTAGTGTGAAGTGTTGACCTCGTAGTGGAGGATGCAGCTGCGGCTAAGACTGTAGTACTCAAGGCTGGAATAGTTTCTGAGAACAATAACCCAGTCGTGATATCGACACAGAAGCGATGTAAGTTGCAGTAGTTGTTGTAGGTTGGGTCGTTCTGTAGTTGTTAATTCAGTTGTAGTGATTAGTAGTTGTAGGTCATTGGAGTGGTTGTTGTAGTTGGAGTCGTTGTAGTAGTGGTTGTTGGAGCCGTTGTCGTAGTGGTTATTGGGGTCGTTGTTGAAATTGGAGTCATTGTTGTAGTGGTTGCTGGGCTCGTTATCGTAGTGGTTGTTGGAGTCGTCGTAGTAGTGGTTGTTGGAGTCGTTGTTGTAGTGGTTGCTGGAGTTGTCATAGTAGTGGTTATTGGAGTCGTTGTTGTAGCGGTTGTTGGGGTCATTGTTGGAGTTGTTGTTGTAGTTGGAGTCGTTGTTGTAGTGGTTGTTGTCGTTGTTGTAGTGGTTGCTGGAGTTGTCATAGTAGTGGTTATTGGAGTCGTTGTTGTAGTGGTTGTTGGAGTCGTCGTAGTGGTGGTTGTCGGGGTCGTTGTCGTAGTGGTTGTTGGAGTCGTTGTTGCAGTGGTTGTTGGAGTCGTTGTTGTAGTGGTTGCTGGAGTAGTTGTTGTAGTGGTTATTGGGGTCGTTGTTGGAGTTGTTGTTGTAGTTGCAGTCGTTGTTGTAGTGGTTGTTGGAGTCGTCGTAGTGGTGGTTGTCGGGGTCGTTGTCGTAGTGGTTGTTGGAGTCGTTGTTGCAGTGGTTGTTGGAGTCGTTGTTGTAGTGGTTGCTGGAGTAGTTGTTGTAGTGGTTATTGGGGTCGTTGTTGGAGTTGTTGTTGTAGTTGCAGTCGTTGTTGTAGCGGTTGTTGGAGTCGTTGCTGTAGTTGCAGTAGTTGTTGTGGTGGTTGCTGGAGTAGTTGTTGTAGTGGTTATTGGGGTCGTTGTTGGAGTTGTTGTTGTAGTTGCAGTCGTTGTTGCAGTGGTTGTTGGAATCGTCGTAGTGGTGGTTGTCGGGGTCGTTGTCGTAGTGGTTGTTGGAGTCGTTGTTGCAGTGGTTGTTGGAGTCGTTGTTGTAGTGGTTGCTGGAGTAGTTGTTGTAGTGGTTATTGGGGTCGTTGTTGGAGTTGTTGTTGTAGTTGCAGTCGTTGTTGCAGTGGTTGTTGGAGTCGTTGTTGTAGTGGTTGCTGGAGTAGTTGTTGTAGTGGTTATTCGGGTCGTTGTTGGAGTTGTTGTTGTAGTTGCAGTCGTTGTTGTAGCGGTTGTTGGAGTTGTTGTTGTAGTTGCAGTCGTTGTTGTAGTGGTTGTTGGAGTCGTCGTAGTGGTGGTTGTCGGGGTCGTTGTCGTAGTGGTTGTTGGAGTCGTTGTTGCAGTGGTTGTTGGAGTCGTTGTTGTAGTGGTTGCTGGAGTAGTTGTTGTAGTGGTTATTGGCGTCGTTGTTGGAGTTGTTGTTGTAGTTGCAGTCGTTGTTGCAGTGGTTGTTGGAGTCGTTGTTGTAGTGGTTGCTGGAGTAGTTGTTGTAGTGGTTATTCGGGTCGTTGTTGGAGTTGTTGTTGTAGTTGCAGTCGTTGTTGTAGCGGTTGTTGGAGTTGTTGTTGTAGTTGCAGTCGTTGTTGTAGTGGTTGTTGGAGTCGTCGTAGTGGTGGTTGTCGAAGTCGTTGTGGTAGTGGTTGTTGGGGTCGTTGTTGTAGTTGCAGTCGTTGTTGTAGTGGTTGCTGGATTCGTTGTTGTAGTGATTGTTGGATTCGTTAGTGGAGTGGCTGCTGGAGTAGTCGGCGCGACTGATGTTTGTTCTTCATCTTTGCTTCCTGAAGAGATGCATGTAAGTATGTACTAAGCCTTCTGTTATTTTTTACATTAGTGTACACTTCACTCACTCAAATAAATGCTGGAGTAAAAAGGTAAGCAAATTAATGGCGTTGTGTTCAACCTTTTTACTTTACCTGGCTGTGTGCAAACATTCCTACTTATTCTGCTAATGGCATTGTTTGATGTCATTATATTAGCATGATGTCAAACAATGTCAAATGTATAAGCATTTGTGAATCGTATAGGTATATGCATACTTACAAAACTTTTCCTATATATAACTTTAGTCATAGGGAACAAACTGATTTGTTATCAAACCTCGACCAAGGTGTATTCCGTTTCATTCTTCATCTTTGTAAGATTCACTTATTTGACCCCATTTTGAAACACCTTTAAAGACCAAACGTTTTACCTCATTTAGAGTAGTACTCTAAAACTTGGAATCCTTTTCTAGAGGAGTATACTTCTAAAGAAAAAACCCAATAAACCTTCGCCGATGTTTTGTATCTAACGTTTCGCAAAAGCATGGGTTTTGAAAAAAGAAAGCAGGATCGCCTCAAAATTGACTGTGGAGCACAATCGAGTAGACTTTCCGCTTAGTATAGTGTGCTTGCAGTGCATATGAAATGCGGCAAAAGCGCGTGAACAAATACATGCGCCCAATTGCGCGACCAATTGCGCGCGCAAAAGGCTTTTAATGAAAATGATATTTGCGAATTACAAGCTTTTGCGATTTCTAAAACTCTGAACAGCTCTAGACCGAATGAAAATTCCAGAAAAAAAATCCGGCTTTTGAAAGCCCCGTTTGAGCAGCACTGTGGACAAGCTGTACCCCTCTACATTAGCTTTGGCCGCAGGTTCACACAGGTGAAGAAGGAGAAGGACGCTTGATAAGACGTGCTAAAACTGAGAGGCTAAGGTACAGTCGAGTAGATTTTCTGCTTAATATAGTGTGCTTGCACAGTTTATGAAATGCGGTAAAATTTGCGCGTGAACAGGTAGCTGCGCCAGCACTGCCGGCATTTTGCGCGCGCAATTGGCCGGCGTCACAGTCGAAGCTATTTCCTCACGAGCAAATTTTACCGCATTTCACCTTCTGTGCAAGCACACTATATTAAGCAGAAAATCTACTCGACTGTAGAGCCGTTGAGAGAGGGTCTTTTGGCTTGGGCGGTCTCCTGCGCCACACCGTTTTTGACTTGTCTTAACACGTCGCACATGCTGCAAATCTTTCCTCCCCTGCCTCTACTTATGGTTAGGCAAAAGCTGAGGCAGGGTGTTTCGTTGGCAGCAGTGGTTCTGTGTGGAAAGCACTAAGGTTGTGCGAATCGCTCTACAACCAGAGCCGGTTAGTCCCAGGCGCGTGCAGAAATCGCTCTTTGCGCATCACTTTAAGTGCAGTTTTCTCAACGTTGAGCAGTTGTTGAATGGGACTTGGGGGGTAGAGGATATTGGGTCGCCATTGCGCTCCATCCATGTGGACAGATAGCACGAGGCAGAAGTAGTGAAATTGTGCGGTTTGTTGCAAATGTCCGCGTGGAACAGCGCCCTTTAGCAACCTAATCTCCTCTACCCGAATTCGCGCGATGGCCTAATAAGCAGGTTCCGTACCTAAATTTCAGAAAATTAGTCTAGCTCAAATTTGCCGATCCACTGCCTTTGATTCCACAGAGGATCAATGAGCCCGTAGGAAAGCTTTTGAAAATCACCTAGGGCCTATTTACCACATTCACGACTATACGTCCCACCGGTGGGTCGTAAGATCCCTGAAGCTCTAGCTTTGTCGATTTACGATAGATTTTTAGGGAGTTCTGACACATAATTGGGTACACCTAAGTGAAGCTCCAGTCAGAGTAGTCCGGGCTCGAGATACTGCTATGTAATGTTAGGTAAGTATACCGTAGATAGATATAAGACGCAGACTTTAGCTCAGATTCTTCGCAGAATGATGCTGTTTCTGAAAAATTAAGTGTATATGCTGAGTAATACGCGTCGGCTAAGAGACTGACGTTAGCCCACCAAAAAATTGTCGATTTTATCGATTTTATTGGCTTTTCGGGCTACCGTAACTTACCGTATAGCGCCAAAAACTGAAACTAATTGTTTATTTGATAATCAGCGCCTTCGACTTCCCCTCTGGAATAGATCTCGGGTACATGTTCTAACCTTTTTAGTAAAAGACTACCATTTCGGACAATACGACCCACGGATGGCTCGTATTGTCCGAAGACAGTACGAAGCGAAAAGGCTCTGGCCGAAACGACAGCAATCGAAAAATCGGCCTCGTCGCGAATGTGTTAAAAGCGGGAAATCTCGGCTTTCCCAACAGTACGCTTTTTCTTACCATATAGATGAATATAGTGAAACACTCGATAATCGATAGAGAACTTTAAAACCTTTTTGGTGCACTAGCATATGAAGCGTTTTTTAGGCTGCGCTCCCCTTTCCGGCGGAGTTATGCAGCCACAAGCGCATGTGGATTGTGGATGGCTCACATGCTCAACGTGATCTCTTTAGGGGCTGGACCAAAAAACTGCCTCATTTCTGGGCCTCTCATAGATGACGTACGTCCACCATGAGGTTTGGCAGGATACTGCTTTGGTGCATTAGGCAGCATTCGGCATTTATATACGAGTACGGCTAGAAGCGCTGTCCTAGGTTCTTGTAACTCACGTTCAAAATGTGGTATCAAATGCTTAGCTAAAACTTTCAGTTAGCGTACTAGACAGCGTCAACTTACCAATATCCGCAATCTTCTCGGCAATACTATCATTTTGGCCGACGACGTCATTTTCACTGATATTGAATATCTTTGCCAAAACAGTCTTGTTTTCTGTATTCGAAACAAGCAATGGCCTCTTCCCACTTCCTGCCTTTCTGATCATATCGATAAACTGCTTCGTTTCAGCATCTTCTGACCTGCAATTGGAGTGTAACCTCCGAATAATTTACCCTATTTTCAGGTGTATAAGCCGCACTTTTTTTGCTCTAAAGGCGAACACGCCAAAAGACTGACTGTTATCATGGAGCGCGTTAAGTGAGAGCAGTATGCGATAAGGCGACCGCTTTGCGAGACATATGCGCGGCGGCACGCCTCGGTCTGCTCGCGTTTAGAGCAAAAAGGGTGCGGCCTATACACCTAAAAATAGGGTACGTTTCATCGTCGCCCTGCTATAGTTTGCCCCAATCCCAATCAGGCCGAAACTGGCATGGCGAGAGCGGGACGCGAAGGTCTTGCGCCACATATGCGGCTAGCTTGTCTGCTGTCTCTTCAATCTCTTTGCTCTCTCCGACGGCGCGCATATGCAGCGCACACACCTAGCGCTGGAGAGAGGAAATTTGAACCAGTGGTTCGGCCGGGGGACGGTCAGGAGGTACGATCGGCGCGAATTTTTCGCGAAGCGACGTCGCAACGTACTTCAGCCCTCACAAAGCAGCGCTTCTGGCGTAGTCTTACTTATAGCATTGAGTTATGTATCTGCCCCCACCCTCCCCCCCCCGCCCCTGGTTTTGCCGCCGGAATCTCTATTGACGGGAATCTTGGAGGATCCTAGATTTGACCGCAGCGTGTGCGGAAGAGCGGCCGCCGCGCGCGGCGTACATCCTGACGTGCTGCCGGTTCGGCCTCATCCCGATTGCGACAGACTGTATGTCTCTTCTCACAAATGTGGGAAATGGAATGACATGGCGTCCTATGGTTACATTTGGGATACAGATCGAGAAGAAAATGCAAGATGCAGTATACTAGCGGATAAAGTGCAAAACGCATATCAGTAGAGCGAACGAGAACGCGTTTTGTCCGTAGCCACAGCTTGTAAGCCCTGCGCCGCCTGCTCCGTGCAGCTAACATTAGGCTGTTCAAAAGACTTTGGCAATGAAGGCTGGGCTGTTTTATCTCAAATGTGGCGTACCGAGCAGAGGGGGGGGGGGGAGAGGGGCGGAAGAAGGGGTGAGTGAGACTCTCTTCTTGAAAAGGGGAGAGTCTCACTCACCCCTTCTTGACAGTAGATTTCTTGACAGTTATGAGTTAAAAAAATATGCAAATGACATGTCTATACTCGTGAATGAACGAAATAACTTTCGGCATTTTTTTGAAAGTTCAAATTAGCCTTACAAAACTTTTCAGGGTGTACCTACCGCCACGCCTTCTCGGAGTCATGGGCCCGCAAATATTTTGGTAAGCATCTCGAGAGAAATTAAATGCATGGCTATCGCCATGCACCTTTATTCGAAAAAGCTTTCTGTTTCCCCGCAACTCCCCCTACCCCGAACGAAACTTCTGGAACCGTCTGCCATTTATAAATTTATGAAAAATTGCTGACAATCGACGATATATTGATCAATTTACTGACAGCTATGGCTGGTAGATGTAGTCGTGGATGGTGCTTTCAAAAAGAATGTTGGATGCGTTACAACCTAAGGGGAAAATTCAATTCTTTGAGGCGCAAAAATCAAAGAAGTATGTCTTGCTCAAATGAAGCCCAAGTACCAATGCATGATAGTCGGACATCGCCAAATTTGAAGAGTACGGAAGGCTTAGCACATCCTCAGTTAAGCTTCTGCAGATTCTTTGAGTCTAAAAACACGTAAAATTTGCCTCTTCTCTATTGGTATGCCTCTGCTCCATCCTCGGGATAATGATTACCGTTCTTTTTGGAGCAGTTTTGCTTAGCTTATGGCGGGTCTCTTGAGCTAGCTAGATTCGCGCGCAAAATACCATTCCAAACCAGCTTCTTTTTTCACCTTATTTTGCTCCTTGCGAGGAGGAGTGGCAGAACTTTTTGAACAACATAACAAAACCGCGTTCGCAGTTCTTTTGCAACTTCGTCCTTCAGTATACCGCAAAGGCAGCGTTTGAGCAACGTTTTGACCAAAAATTTTTCGCCTGCTTGGGCTTGTTCTCCTCACTGATTTCGAAAAGCAGCTTGGAGAGCACGAAAATATCGAAAAGGGCCATTCTATCGACTGTATCCGATATACCCACTATGGCTTACATCTTGAAATCGGTTTTTAGACGGGCTAAGAGGTGCTCTACGTTTTAGCTATTGGGAAGGTTCTCTCGCTTTAAAACTGCAAATGGTGCAATGCCAATTGGGCAGGACCTTTATCAGGATGAGCGCTGTTGCACTAACAAGGAAAGGATGGTTACTCGAAGTGGCCTTTTGAAGTGAAATGTACATTGCTTTGAAAGGCGTGGAATGTGACATAGATCTGCTTGCCTTATCTGCAGCAGGTTTCTGAGCGAGGAGTTATGGGAGTTTTTAAGTGTGAAAATTGAATGCACAGCTCAAAGTCGTAATTTTTTTCCTAGAGGTTGAATATTGTCGGGTCACTATGTGCAGTAGATATTCTAATTTAAATACATTCACGAGCCGCTGCCTTATTTGAACGCGGAGAAAACTCAAAGAATGATTTTGAATCAGTCATGCAATGAAATTTCTGATCATAAAAACCTTCATGAATCTTTGCTCAAAAAGCAGTAGCAGATAATGAAGGCAGATTTGGATTCACTGTTCCAGCCTTTTTCAAGCAGTATCTCATATTGAACGACCATTTCGACTATTTTTCTTGTAAGTATTTCTCGTTATTGTCATATGTGCTCGGACGCTGCTTCAAGAAGATTGACATCGAACATGCTGCATTTGCGTCCGCAGCACCCACTACAGCCGTGAAAGTGAACGACAGTATAGAACCTTTCTCAAGGAAATGAACTTACGAGTAGTTGAATCTGCAAGGAATGTAATGCACCAGAATATCCTTCGCTCTTCCCTGGGATTTCTTTCGGAACTGTTCGAGAGCTCTGGAAATCAAGATATCTTAGAAACCAGCCCAACTCCTGCGGTAAGCGTCAAAATTTATAATTCATAAGTGATTCTGGCATAAAGGCTGCAGTTTTAACAAAAAATTATTGATACTTAAAGGCAGCGTCTACCCAAAATTCAGCACCCCAGATATAACTTATCCTACTAGCAGGCCTCAAAAGTAGTCCAATCGCGTTGGTCCGGTCCCCTAATGTTGCCTACAAAAGGAGATAACGGATTGGATCCTCTCTGCGCTCCGCCCCCTTTTTTCGCGCTCCACCCACTCAAGGATTGCCCCGTGACGCAAGCAACGTCGAGATGCATAGTCTGTGATGTGGCAATGTTGCATAGACTAGGTTTTCCTGGAGCATACGACGTGACTAACGACGAGGCACTCTATCACGTCTACCAATTTAGGGCTTCAGAAAGGGGCAATTTTGGAGTTTTCTGGTGATTCGAATTTCATATCTGAAATCAGCGCTATGGAAACTTTCGATGACAATTAGAACATGGAAAACGGAATTTTGGGTGTACGCTGCCTTTAAGGCTTTGCCACTCACTTTGTCTGTTTCACTGCAGTTTGCTGTTCTGCACGTATACTCTTCAGTTCATTTGCAGCATCTCGAGCTTTCATTGGTTCGGTGACATTTGCATCATCGCCATATAGAATGAAAGAGTATCTCTGGTTTACTCCCCTTTTGGTGATTTCCAAAATAGACTTCTCCGTGTTATTCTTGTTCTGAATGCTTAGTTGATGCAGATCAACATGTAGCGCATGATAAAGTCTAGAAAAAACTCAGTGCTTCAGTTTTTCTATATTATTGGCCTCTATTTATATCCAGTTCAATATCGGTATCGGTATTACCGATAGTATTATGCGCGCTCCATAGTCCAAAGACAAGGCTCAAAAGGGATACGATACGTATTCGTTCTGTACAAGGTAGATGTTTTTCTTATTGATGAAAGATTGCGTGGAAGAACGAAGTAATAATGGAGTGTAACTACCAGAAGAGAGCTAATTTGTTATATAACCGAAGAATGTAAGCGAAAAACCCTTTCAAAATCTCAAAACAAGTCGGTTACCCTTTATAAACCAAACATGAGCTAGTTCACTTTGAATTTTGGAGGCGAGGCTAATGCCTCTTACAAGAAAATATTTCCGTAGCGCCCCCCACACCCCTCGCCCCTCCCCCCTCCCTCCCGAATTTCCGAAGCGCTACTGGTACAGTCACTGCACTAGAGGCGGTTCTAGAAATTTTTTGCAAGGCTAATTTGAAGTTTGAACAGATTTGGTCTTTTTTTGCATAAACTCACCGTTTCCAGACTACAGTGAGTGTTGTCATTGCTAGTTTGCAAAAAACGTTCAAAACGTTGAACTTCTTCATCGGTATCTCCAATATACATAGAGAAGTACATTGTCCTGATGTCTGAAAAACTGCCATATGTTTACTGCATTCACGGTAGTTTACAACTTTTGTTATCTTAATGACATTGTGGTTGTCATAAATTCCAATCAACTTAGGGATCATCCATACATGAACATCTCGTCCTCAGTAAACTTCCGCTTCAGTGGCTAATCTAATCAGAACTTTTGGCTTCCATAAGTACGAGTCAACAAAGTGTCTTGATATTTCTAAGTGTTGTGCAACAGTTTCAACTAGCTAACGTTTATGGAAGTGTTGACAGCGCCAGACATGACTAATCACTCCTAGTGTTTTTTACAGCAATATTTTGCATTCCATCTCTATAGCGCTATTGCATCAGGGTGTGACGCACCTTGGTACATTATAGAATGTTTTAAAACACACTTTTTTGACAGGTTATAATGGCTGTAAAACTGATATCGCTACCACATATTTTGAACAGAATGGCATCTACCGTACCTTCCCTCGGCGATGAATCAGCTGAAAGAACGATGGTCAGTATCACTGCTATAGCTGCGCCAAATATGAGAACAAATAGAAATAGCGTGTTCCATGATAGATCTGTAAATATACAGTGAAAACAGTTCTACTTTGGAATGATTACTCAAGCATTATTGTGTTATAGATTAAATTAACAGTTATGGCTGTGTATGCGTGGTATAGAAATTCTGTGGCATAGAATGTGGATCCCATTGGCTATGTAATTTTGAGTCCTGGAAGACACCCTTTATATGATACCTTGGCATACAGTTTGATCAGTAAATCTCAGAAATCTGAATTTTCTTCAGAACAATCCCGGTTGGGTCAAAACGGCCTTTTTTTCACATTTATTTGCTAACACTTCAAAAAGAATTTATAAAAAATTAGGAGGCATACAATACTTTGAAAGATTATCTTGATAACGAAACAACTCAATCAAATCAAACTTGTGTCACCACCAAGTAAGAAATATGTCTGAAAAAACTAATTGAGTCAAATATTGCATAGACACTCAGAGTGCTTATCATAACGAGATTCTTCCAATTTGGTTTTCTTCTCGAGAAGTTCGTTTTCGCAACTTCATTAACACATTGACGGCTATGCAAATTTTGAGTTGTCTGCCTTCTGGGACCGAGGACTCTCACGGATCAGTTAACATTTTTTGGATAAGGTCACGCATACTGCCATCTACGGTAAACCTACACTAGCTCTGTGAGACGGACTAGACAGATAGAGGTTCTTTCTAGCTCCAAGGCAAGAAAGAACTTTTGAAGTGAGTTTCCTCTGGGATAGTCGTTAATTTACTAAAAATCGAACCTTGACACACATGTGTGTCAAGGTCGTCAATGTGTTAAATCCCAAGCTACGAATAGTTTTCAACAAGACAACTCAAAAATCAACGTCAGGCACTTATGTCTAGGCAACTCTATCTTATTTTTACGTCATAAATTTGCAGTCATTTTGCATTTTACTTCTCCGTTCTGCTACCTTCCAAAAACATTTTGAACTATCGCTATTATCAGTGTCAACAAAAAGCAAACAGAAAGTGCATCTGCTGCGAACAATCGCGTTTTCTGTTGCTGCAAAATAACCACAAAGGACTTCAGTTGTTTCAAATAAGACATACACAGTTTGAGAATATTTTCTGTTTGGGTTTCATTACCTCCATCTTCTCACAGAGTCACGTGTGTTGAGAACCAATCCCCTTTCTAACTGAGACAAGAAATCAAGACTGTATATCTATCATCTGTTGTGCTCTTTATAATATAAAGTATAGAGATATAACAAAACTTCTCACATTTGCGTAAATCTCGGAAAAAACTCGAGCTCGCAGGTTGTTCTCTATTGTTCGGCTGGATTACTGGTGCCGTATATCTAATCTCAAAATTATCCAGATATTCCGGCAAAGGCTGACCACGTTGAATAAAGCGAGCCGTTTTGTTGGAATTTTTGTAATCTGGAAGATCTGGATATTAGGCGACGTCGTCACTAACAGAAAAATATATTGGCTCAAATGTGTTCATGCATAGTGGTATCGAGAAATCAAGACAATAATGAACATGTGAACGTACTTAGAATTTACAAAAAAGGTACAATGAACTATCGAGCATACTGGGGTGAGTCAAAAGTAATGAGAACTTCGTATCTTCCCTTGAACCTATAAATTTAGGTGGAATGTAAACAAGCAAATGCTCTAAACGGTATCCGATACGGCCTTTTTTTCCTCTTTCCAGCAATAATATCCAACCAAACCACTTTGTAGTTGATGAAATATAATATTTGCAAAAATTTTGAATTCAGAGTGTTTGCCGTTCAAATTCTATGGTTTCTTCAGACGTGGCAAAAAATTCTAGATTATGGTAATTTGGAACGGTAAGCGCTTGAATATTCTGCAAAGTCAAGATTTGATAATAAACTATTTTCGAAGCTCCCAATTTCGAAAGATTTGTAAAGTTTGTTGCATTTTTGTTTTGAGCGATTTTTCGAAATTTTAGGGCTTTTGGAAAAATGATTTTAAAAAGCCTCAAAATGTTACTTTCGAACGAATTAAGAGGTGATTTGCATCAAGCTAAATCTGCTCTCTTTTCAAATAATCGAATTTGTTTAACACGTTTCGGACCGGTGCTGCACATGGTGCAGCACGCGCCTTTGAGAGATCTTTCTGACGTTTACAGAAGGTTTTCTTTTTGTCCAAGGTTATCAAGTCAAAGGCCTAAGCTCCTCCTTCTCAAATGACTCTGTAAGGATGCGCCGCCGATATTTATTTAGAAGATATGAGCACAAATCGAACAACAGTTGCAACGAAGTGCGGCAACGCGAACGACGCGTGCGACGTCGCAACTTTCCTTTGCTTCGAATTCAAGGAGAAAAACCGTAGTTTCGATAGTGATGTGTATGATGCATAACATAGATACTTTTGGGTACAATTAGAAACGGAGTTCTTGTTCTTGTCTTTCAAAAAAGCACAGAAGTTCTTCTCAGATGACAAAATTCAAACACTTCGAATTCGCTCACAACTTTGGATATGGATCTTATCGGACATGCTGATGTAGCACGCAGTCTACGAATTAAGGCTCCTTTGTTGGCTAACGGCTGAAAGTGCCCTCTTTTTCGCCGCGCGCGATTTCGCGGTCCGAAACGTGTTAAAACTCTCAAACTAAAAGTTCTGAGGATTAGCTAAACTCACTCAAAGCATAAATGACAGGTTCAGAATTTGGAAAATTTCTTCGACAACTAAGAAGTCAACTGGCACGTTGGCCTGGCTGTTGAAAAGAGAAAGAAAAGCTACGTTCAATACCGTTTATTGTACTTCTCTATCAATACTCTACACATTGCTAAAAGCTCAAAAAGGTGCGCAAAAAGTTCTCATTACTTTTGACTCAACCTAATATGTTGGTGACTACAGGCTTTTGAGAAATTCTCACCAAAATCTCAAAAGATCTGAGAGTGAATTGATGATGATAAGACTCGGAAAGGATAGGATATAGGCTGCTGGAGAGCCACCCGCACCCGCCACTGACTGTATAGTATGCTACAATGTCTTCGTTATCAAGGCCAGTAATTTGGTTATATTTGATAGAAGGGCATTGAGGAACCTTATCTCGAGTGATGACGCGTTTTGCGTAAGATCGACATTTTCCTGCTTTTTCTTACGTTTTTTTTGCATCCCTAGGTCCTCAGCTTTACGAGAGTACGGTGGCCACGTATTCCTTTTCTTTAGTCTTTTTTAGTGCCTTTTCGATAAGAATTTATTAGTCCCGTTTTGACGCAGTTCCAAGATTATGCTTCACTGTGCCGACCTTTGACGAAAAACATCATTTTTGTCGTCCTTTTTTCCTTTTGTGATTCACTCGAATACTCAAGGATCCTACCTCTTCATTTACGAGAATGACGCTAACAGAACAATTGAATGAGCGATGTGGTGCACAAATGTGCTCCTCTGTTGTTCTAGTATTTGCAGCAAGACAAGATGCCGAATATCATCATAACTTAGGCAATGATGTGGTCCCACAGTTGATCATTTTGCCACCCCTGGCACCGCTGATTCCATGCAGCGGGTCCTATTCCCAAAAAGTAAGTAGTCTAGCCAGCCGCTGAGATTTTCATCTAGGTTCAGGAACACGCCGTTCATGTGATTTGCGATAGGAACAACTAGTAATCAGGTAAGACGAAATTCAGAGGCACCGTCTACCCAAAGTGGGGGGTGACGATATGATGGCATAAGTGGCAGGCCCCTGAGTTGCGCCCCCAAAAGATTGCTTTCGAAGCGAGAAATCCGCTTAGAAGAAGCAAATGTGGAGCTGTTCACTTCACCCACTCAGATAATTGCTGGGGGCAGGCGGTCATGCGAATTTTGAGCAAGCGGGCACCGCAGAAATAGTTCGCTGATTTCATGCGGTCCGCTTGCAGAAGTTTGAAAGAATGCTGACCAATTTTTAGAGGAATGCTCGGAGAAGCATTATGGTTTTTCTATAGATTAGTTGCGGCGCAGTGGCCGCATTCTCGCGGACTTTCCGCGAGAATGTGCAAAAATATTGGGGCCGTACGGCCCTTTGTGAAGGACCGCACAGCCCGTAGGTACTTTCCGCTGAAAGAAGGTACCTCAAACTTGAGTAATTAAACCATCAATGACTCCTCTGCCACATGGAGTCTCACCTTTACTTTGCGTATGCCCGAAACTGCGTTAAAAGAGTCCTAGCGCTTGCTGAAAGTTTAGCCAGCACTCGCTGGAAGAAATTATTTGCCGAGCGCTTGCAGAAAATGCTGTGTTGTTGCTCGCTGGCAGAATATGCGACCGTAAAGGAAGTGCCGCCCGCTGAGGGGCCACGCCCCAAAATTCTGCTGACCGCCTGCAGAAAAGCGCGAGTTTGCGGACCGCCTGCCCCCGGTGATTATCTGAGCAGCTGCTCAGATAAACGCCGGGGGCAGGCGGCCATGCGAATTTTGAGCAAGCGCGCACCGGAAAAATAGTTCGTCGATTTTTTGCGGCCCGCTTGCAGAAATTTGGAAGAAAGTTGGCGAAATTAAAGACGAATGCTTGAAGAACAACCGCGGTTTCTTTATGAATTAGCTGCGGCGCAGTGGCCGCATTCTCGCGGACTTTCCGCGAGAATATGCAAAAATTTCGAGGGCCGCACGTTCCTTTGTGGAGGACCGCGCAACCCCCAGGTACTTTCCGCTGAGAGAAAGTACCTCAAACTTGAGTAATTAAACCAACGGTGACACCTCTGCCACACAGAGTCTTACCTGCGCTCGACGTACGCCCGAAAACACCTAAAAAGAGTCCGAGCGCTTGCTGAAAGTTTGGCCAGCGCTCGCTGGAAGTTATTATTTGACGAGCGCTCGCAGAAAATTCTGTATTGCTGCCCGCTGGCAGAACGCGGAAGTACCGCCCGCTGAAGGTTTGGCCACGCCCCAAAATTCTGCTGACCGCCTGCAGAAAAGCGCGAGTTTGCGGACCGCCTGCTCAGACAATCGCCGGGGGCAGGCGGGCACCGAAAAAATAATTTGCTGATCTCTCGCACCCCGCTCGCGGATTTTTTGCAAAGCAATCAAGACTTTTCGGAAGACCGCTTGCTGAATTCTCGATTCCTCAGAGATTCAGCAATATATTTGCAAAAGATAAGAGCGAAAAAAATTCAACAGGCGGTCTCTCAAAAATCCGCTGACTTAGCGAGCGGTCTTCCGAAAAGTCCCGACTGCTTCGCAAAAAATCCGCGAGCGGGGTGCGAGAGATCAACAAACTATTTTTCCGGTGCCCGCCTGCCCCCGGCGATTGTCTGAGTGCCCCCGGTGACTATCTGAGTGGTCGGCCCCGCCTTTGCAGGCTTTCCCTCGCCTGTGCTTCTTGCAGCGGGTTCTCAGACGGAAATTTTTGGGGTTTCGCGGACTTTCGACTCCATATCAGAAATCAAGGCCTTCAGAAGGCCCGAAAGCGACAAAAACATGAAAGTCGAGAATTTGGGAGACGGTTCCTTTGTGGAGTACCCCTACGGAGCTTAAAGGCAGCGTCCCAGCAGATTTCGCATTTCCATCTTTTTGCATGTTTTGGGTTTTATCGATCCGTAGATCCCGAATCTGAGCTTTAAAAGGAATGAAAAGACCTTTTTCGGGGGGGGGGGGGCGGTTTCATTTTCCAAAAGGCAGCTCGGACGAGAATTTTCAGAGGAAAGTCGGGAGGCCCTGGCACGAAGACCCTGCTGCCTGCAATTGTGGCTTTGTATAGCATGCACAACGCGGGAAAGCGGTTGGGGAAAGTCCCGCGCCGTCTAGCGGAGAATACTCGTCCGAACAAGGTGTTAGGGGAGCGAAAGGAGGAAGGGGAGCGGCGCTTGGGCCTCCCTCTTGGCTTGCAGGGTTCACATTTTCGGCGCGGAGTTGCTGTTTTGGTTCACTTGGAGGGCCTCTTATCCATCTGTGTCAAAATCTGAGGTAGGTCAATCTGCCGAGCCGCTGCCTTTAAGTATCCCCGTCAAGCCGTGCAAAACATTTCGACAACGTTGCCATATGAAGAGGCATGTGTTTCGTTTTTGTCTTGATCTTGAAAATAGAGCCTTTTCCGCAGTGTGGCGTTGTTCATATGGTGCAGTTGGGTATCGTGAGTATCATGATTGACCGTCGGTCGCCCTTATGCTGCATCCACAAGATTCGGGCACACTTTTGCGTATGAACGAGCAGCGAAGAATCACTTTGCTGAACTTTTGCGATTCGCTTGCTGATATTCGAAGATGCTGGCATTTTATCGAACGTCTATATCTACCTAACCAATAAGTATTCCCATCATCTTTCACCAGGAACATATTGAGCAGGAGCGAGAAGCTATTCAAGTCGCATTTTTTGGCATCCCCTGACGATCCCTTGCGGTCGACTGTCTTTTCTTCAGTCACTTTTCTTTTTTCGAAGAAATTTCAAAGTTGTGCTGAGCATCTAACACAACAGTGCTAAACATATTGCTGATTAGAACATGACGAGTTTATGAAAAATCGAACTTTTCGATAAACCCCAACATTCGACTTGTGGCTCATCGCAAATTTCATGACTTCAATACATGATTTGTTCTTATCAGCAACATGCTTAACATATTGCTGCATGTTGGGTTATCGTATTGTTG